TGCTTAAAGATCAAATTCAAAGTTTTTTTAATAATTGCCAGTAAAATCGAAATCATATAGCTACAACACTATCTAAGATATTGCAGTATTAAAATCGGAGATAATATGCGTCTGGCAATGCGCAATATTTATTTTGTTCAACCCCCAACACCAAGTCCGACGATTTATTTTCTCAGCCGCTCCTCCGCAAGATGGCGTCGCGTGACGTCACAGTGGCCAAACAAACAAACCTTGGCTTATAGCTCACAGCTGCTTCCGCCGATAGTACAACTTAGTTTCGTTATCATGTCTGATTCTGAGTAGACTATAGACTAAAAGCTTTAGGAATCAAAACTATAACATATAATAAGTACCCTGTATCAAGATTGATGCAAAACAAGTGACGTTTGACCTTTTTAGAGAGGTTTAGAAAAATAAAGTCCAGGCGGACTCACCACTGGGTAATTTGGGAACCATCACAACCAAACACAATGCCAACAGTGAGACTCTGAATTAGCCCCGAGCGAAAAATGCTAACCTATTACTGCACCGAAATCACTCCTAGCTCCCTTATTACTTATCCTAGCTCCACATCCAACACATTGTTTATGATCGTAAAGACACAGAATCTAACGGTGCCCACCTCTATAAGCACCCACTCGGCTGAAAGAAATGAAAGCATGGCGGAGGGCTTTTTTGATGCATAGGCCTAATGAAGTGGTTAGAAGAATGTTGGGTTTTCTAAGTGCTCAGTCACTTTTAATTGCGCGGGGGGCATTTTTAATTGGGCCAGGAGGAATAATAGTGGATTTAATCCCTATCATAATGCATATTGTTCACACTTTTCCATTATGAGTGGAGGAGCGATGAATGAGCTGCAGATAAACTACAATGCTAACAGTGAATTAGCCCCGAGCGAAAAATGCTAACCTATTACTGCACCGAAATCACTCCTAGCGCCCTTATTACTTATCCTAGCTCCACATCCAACACATTGTTTATGATCGTAAAGACACAGAATCTAACGGTGCCCACCTCTATAAGCAATAACACTGCAATTCCGTTATCTGCGTTATCTGCTGTGCTCCGTGCGCTTTGAAATCTAATCAAAAGTTGTTTACCTCAATTCTTTGGCGTTTCTGCATCGCCCGGCTCTTTCGTTCTTTCAGTGGTTTCTTGTGCTGAAATATGGAGGGGACGGCTCCGGGTTTCAGCCTCCGACGTGCTATTAATGCTTCTCCACCAACAGACTTCATGATAGCAGGATCAACGTCGTATGCATCACACGCGAAGTGGTCAGAACACAACTTGCTCCATTTTGTCGGTTGCCATCCAACACGATTCACTAAAAAAATCAATTTTTTACGGATGATTTGGTCTTTGGGAAATGCATGTAAAACTCTCCCAGATCCCGCACCGTTCGTACAACAAAAAGCACAACAATGTCAATAACCCATGTTAATTCAGTTTTCTTTTCGAAAAACATGTGACCGAGACTGCCGAGTCGGGATATTTGGTCCAGAGACTGTTTGGCCACTATTACCAGGGGTGCACATCACTTTTTTGCCCTGGTTCTCAAAGGAGCACCTGGAGATGTTGCTTGGTGCTCATCCTTAAAATGAAATAAACCGTAACTTTTGAGGGGGTCTTTATTTGCCAGACACACGGCACAGAACACACATGCAGAGGTGAACACAAGACAACATTAGCACGACCAGTAATCCTACAAACTGTCATCACTACCCTCCTGACTGTTCTCCTGACTGTTCTCCTCTCTGTCAGACATGGTAGCTGATGATGTAGGCCTACTACTTTCTCTCTGGTTGAGTCTGCGATTAGCTGCTTGCATCCACAAGTCAACAGCTGGTTTTGGGTCGAAAGTCTCTGTCATCTTAGACAAGTGGATGTAATCAAATAAGTATGTGAACATAACCAATAACCTACCATCGCCAATAACAAATGAATGTAACTTATTTTATTTTTGTTGTTCATATCTTATTTTACCTTAACATTGATTTATTTATGCATTTTTTTTTTATCTCTCCAGTTTTAAAGGATATTTTTGGTTTACTGACCTATAGTATGCATTGGAATGATTTCAAACCTGTTTATCCCAATAATTATAAAGGAGTGCCTTGGAAATATGTGTTTACATAAATTGTGATCAAAACGTTTGAGACCCACTGAGATAACTTGGACTAAAGTGAACTTAGTATCTAAACACTCAGTCCTTTACCTCACTGAGCTGTAGTTATCAGCCTCTCAGTCTGACTGGAGAGGACTCTACCTCCACATCATTGTAGAAACATCTTCTTCTTATATCCGTTAGAGCAGTTAGCACCAGATTCTAATAACAACTGCGCCGGAACCGGTGCACCCTCCCTCTCTCCCTCGCTCCCTCGCATTTTGGCTGTGAGCTGCGGGCGCCAGATAAGCCAACATCCCCCATTTTCATCACTTACAGCGCCCATTGTACAGGGCAAATGAAACGTGTAACCGGGGGGAAAAGGGTGTTACATTTACTTAATTATGAATGTTGTTAAATCAAGACCGAAAATTAGGATGAGCCCCAACGGTCAAAAATGTTTTTTTCCCTTCCAGAACTGCCAGCGCAGCGCCTCCACAGATCTGGCGCCCTAGGCGAACATCTATAACGCCAGTGCTACGGGCCGGCCCTGAGTTCATATGCAACTCGCAAATGTCTTTCTCTCTCTCATCTCTTCTCTATTTTCTCTTCTCTCTTCTCTCTCTTCTCCCTCTCTCAATGTTGGTACGCAAATGCGCCTTTTTTCAAATGACCCGGTGCTCTTTTTTTGGCGGAGGTGCGCATGCGCACCTGCGCACCAGTTATGTGCAGCCCTGACTATTACGTCACGCGCGCGGAGGCTGCTGGGAATTACATGTCAGAAATTCAGACGGCTTTGGGTCGAGTTTTGGATCAATAAAAAGCTTTTTTTTGGGTGTATTATCTCGATTTAAATAAAATAAAAAATACAGGCAGTCTTAAAAACAACATTTCTATAAAAATGTAGCATATTTGGATGCTTTGCATTTGATCTTTAAGGATTTCTACAACACATGTGGGCCCTGAAGCACCAGGCCAGTGCGCCGGACAATTTAGGCTTCTATATTTGCAGTCTGGGTTCTTCAGGTTTACGTTTTTGCAGGTGGGATACAGAATATTGCCACCTGCTAGTATGGAAAAGTTTATCCTTTCATACAGATACAGCATGTATGCGCTAGTTTTTGTGTTGTGTTTAAGTGCAACTTTTTGGCCAAGACAAAGGGGACATGTGGCGAGACATCAGCTAGTTTTTTGAAGTTGGGTTTGTTTGTCTGGGCCTTTCGAACCCAATTTTGATTAACAAAACTCCATGGAAAGAAAGGAAACTTCAATGGGCAAAAGACTTGTCGTACTGACAGTGAAGACAGAAGAAGCATTCGCTAAATCACAAAGTTAACAGAAGGAAAACATTGTTACTCACAGTACTGGACCAAACACACCTAAAGCATTGTCATCACTAACATGTACACAGTCGTTTAAATTGGTCTGCTGCTGGATGCTGGTGAGCATTGGGAGACATATGGCTAAGAGAACCCGCCTCATAATTCTCCGGTGACCCACATAGTGATGCCGGTGTTTGTGCTGCCTCTGCACATACACTCCCGCTGCACAGGAGTCTGTTAAACAGTAGGGGAGTTGTGTGATTCATCAATGACAGCAGAGCCCCCCACTGTGTCAGACCTGAAGGTCACCCCTCCGGTGGGGCTCCCTGCACCGTTTGGATAGAGAGGACAGCAGGGCACAGGTGGGGTGCGTTCAGGGGCGGAGAGAGGAGCCGTGGGCCTCTGGGAGTAAATAGATCGGACCATGTGATTTCAACACACACACACAATAGAGGGTGTTTTACCCTCTCTGCTACACACTCTCCGTATCCAGGTGTTAATAATTACTCTAACACACATTACCCTCTCTGTATCCTTCAGCTGGGCGGCCTTCCTCAAGACTTGGCTTCCCTTCTTCATGATCTTCGGAATTCTCGGCACGTTCGTCCTCACGTTCAACCTGCATTAAAGGACCAGACAGGCAATCGAGAGGACTCACAGACTTTGGCTATACTTTATACATTGTCTTCGGCTGTTGACATGAAATTGTTTTGTCGAGACATTTGTTTCATGTACACAAAATCCAGATGATGGACTTCATTGTGTGTTAGGGATCTATTCTCTAGGGGCGTATTTAAGGACAAACCATACTGTAGCTGTCTGTGTGTACGGTAGTTTTGAAATCAATAGTATGTTTTTACCATTTATTTTATTTAAGTTTTTATGATTTGAGTTGTTTTTTTACACAGTGGGTTCTGTGTTTATGTTGTTTATATGGGGGATCATAAAATGGTTATACCACAGAACTGTTGAGATGTACTTTTCCAAGAATGGCAATGATGAATGTGTTTTCTGACTGGCTAATGTTCATATCGGTGAGGAATAACTCTAAAATGGATCAAAAAATCTTAACACTAAAAGCGTTCATCAATTATTTGTGTAGGAGTTATGAGACGCTACCAAAAAGAGATAAGGAGGACCCATCTGTGAAAAATCGAGGTACTGTCGTGCTGTAAAAAACCTACATTAAATCCTATTTCCTTTGGTGTATAAATACAAGTATATGTTTTATCTTTCCGTGTATTATTTGCTCCTCTCCCGACAGAATTTGAATCCTTACATCCTTAAGTTACTTTAACTGTACTTTAATGGCAATACTATAATACTTATGTCCGTTTTTTGTTTACTTTGTTGATGGTATGTACCCAAAAGAGTATTATTCATTACAGCTGCAAGAATTAGTTGATCTAAAGAGTTATTTGCCATGCAAAAAATTACAGACACCACATCTAATGTGCAGATATACTGCATTTAGAGACATCACATCGGATTCTTAGACTAGGCTGGACCTTTTGACTTTCTTCTAACAATGTATAGATTAATAATTGATTAATCTAACTAATTGGTATATTAACAGTTCATGAAAGTAATCATTAGGTGCAGCCCAACCATATAATCGTACATTTCTGTTTCTGTGATTTATCTGTTTCTGTGACCTTATTGGATGCTGGATGTGCTGTATTCAGCTTTTCAGACTGCTGTAGGTCACAGGCTGTAGATGCCCTAATTGTCCTCTGTACCTTTAAGGGACCCACGTACCTTTTTCATCCAGCACCATCTGTGTTATATGAACCAACATCAATTTAGGGGGACCTTCATCCCCAGAGTGGAGCAGATGAGGAGGGGCTCGCGCTGAAGCTCTCTCTCTGCAGCATATATTCACTTAGAGGGAACAAAAGCAGTGTACAGAATATTAAAATGGTTCTTCTGTAATTCAATACATCTTTTTAAACTTACATTTTCATTGATCATAATTTAGAGATGTGTGTTTTTGCAGTCCGGCTGTTTTTGGGAGTCCTTTTCTGTGCACCGCGCTCACAGTGCTTGGTGTGTCCTTTTGGCTGTGAGTGCTTTGCTGTCAGTCACACAGTGAAATGTGTTTCTAAAGATCTGCTCACGGTGCCACAAAGTATTCCAGGATATGCAAAGACCGTCATCATCGCAGGGAATAATATTCTCCACATCGGACCTGATTCCTTTGTAGAGCTGGAGAATGTCAGCAACATCATTTTGAGCAATAATAGGTAAGAATATCACAGTTTGTTTTAGTTTCATTACATATCAAGCCATATTACATGCTTACTCTGTTGATGTGTATCTAATAGATACAAAATGTTCTTTGGTATGCACAATTTGATTGTTTTGCAGCCGATACAGATGAATAACCAATTGCTTCTTAATACTGATAATATTATGATTTTATATTTCACACTCATGTAATTTTTCAGTTCATAACCCGTAGTTTATGCGCACCTGAGGGTAAGGAAGGCTGAGATATATTGAGCAAAGTTGGGTTGCCCTTCAATGTTCTTTTTAGTTTTTTCATGCATCAGAAAATTTGTATTGCAAATTACAATATTGTTGTCTTCCTCTAAAACGGTGTAAAACCTTCCCACTTTAAAGGTGCAAACCATCACATAGGCTAGTGTAGTGTTTAGATACACTGCTTTTTAAGTCAAAGAAACAGTTTGGTTTTGAATGTATCAGCTATAATTGTATTACAGTAAAAAATAAACCAACTTCTTAATGTCAGACAATAACTTTTCTGCAGCCATACATATTGTGCCATCCTAATGTTTATATCTCTGAGTGTGGTTTTATTGTTTATGTATGCCCAATACATAAAGACAGGTGTTACAGTGTTAGTCATCTTCCCAGGATTACAGAGATGGCGTCCCACAGCTTCTCTTCCCTCAGCAACCTGCGCTTCCTGGACCTCAGTGGGAACCATCTGGCCCTCATCCACCCAGAAGCCCTCAGCATACCCGGCAGCCCCCTTCAGGAGCTCAACCTGAGCCACTCGCTGAGCAACTTCACCGCTCTGACGGACCTCATCACGGCTCTGCGCTGGGGGGGCCTCGGGGGGCTCCTCCGCCTCGACCTCTCTGGGAACCACCTCGCCCTGCTGCCCCCGGGGATGTTCTCACACCTTCCCAACCTGCAGCACCTCTTCCTCACCAACAACTCCCTTAAGGCCGTCTACAGTGGAACCTTCTCTGGTATGAACCACCTGCAGGTGCTGGACCTCACACACAACGCCTTCACGACGGTCAGTGCTGATGCTCTTGAGGAGCTGGAGATGCTCGGCAACATCCGAATCCTCCTTGGAGACAACCCTTACACCTGCTCCTGTGAGATCAGTCATTTTGTTGCCTGGCTGAATGAATCCAGAGCCCAGGTGGATGTGGATGCTGTGAGGTGTGCCTCACCGGGGGGGTTAAGTGACACCCTGCTGCTAGGGCTCGGTGTCCACGCCCTTGGATGTGTGGTTCCTGTCCAAGAAGAGGCGGACGATCTCACCCTGCAGACATCCTACGTCCTGCTGGGGCTGGTGCTCGGTTTAGTAGGCATGGTCTTTCTCTTCGTGCTCTATCTGAATCGGAAAGGTATGAAGACGTGGATCATTGAGATGAGAGAAGCATGTCGGGATGTGTTGGAGGGATACCACTACCAATTTGAGCTGGACTCGGACCCTCGACTGGGGCAGATCTCTAAAGATGGCGGAAGCGGGGTACGAGGGCATTCAGGATTAGATACGTCTCAGCAGCTGCCAAGTGACACCTATATTGTCCAGCTTCCTACAGACACTCAGGTTAAACAGCTGACGACCTCTCCACATGTGAAACTATGATCGTTTAATGAAGCTAGAGACTCATTTGACAGTGAGTGATGTAGATGTGAATAGTCAATGCCAGTACATTTACAGTTGAGGTATTTAGGATTCCTACTGCATTAGAAAAAAAAGTGCCTTTGTGTTTTCTCAAGGCACACATTTCTGTAAATCGACCTACATCTTGTGTGTTTATTATACCTTTTATAAAAACATAGGCTAAATAACAGACTATTAAAGAACACAAGATTCACAGAAAATACAAACATATACAAAATAAACCCTAACAAAATAATAAATAAATAAATAAAGGGGCCGAAGGACTTCAAAAATAAAGGGCACACATTAAAACAATATAATCAAAGTTTAGCTGTCTAGAAGGAAGAATTTATATTGAAAGTGTCTGGATCTATGTTTTGAGGTGTGGTAATGCATGATAAACATGGGAAATCATATAGCACTAATAAAAAAAAAAGGTGTCGAAGATGTGTTTGTTACAAGACAATGTTAATGATGTACTGTTCACTTAGGTGTTCATATGGACGAAGATCATAGAAGGGAATTACATTTTAAGCATCAATAGGTATGGATTACTTTAAAGCACGTATGTATTTCAAACACTGTTTAGTGCATGTGTAATTCTCTGCAGAGGGATTTAAAGGGTTGTCTAAATATTTTCAGCTCTAGAAAATGTATTTAAAGAGAGAACTTTAGGAAGGATGGAGCTTGATTCTTGTTTTTCTCCTGTTACTGTATTATTGTTTATGTAACTGTAATTGACACACTATTTATATCTTGAGTAAGGGGCAGACTTTCCTCTCAATGCACCTTTTTGGTCAAGGAAATAACTGACACCATGAGCAGATCAAATAAAACATACATTAATTTGACAACATTACATAATATAAATCATGTGAAGAATAGGTAAGTTTCATAAATCTTTAATATGATAGGATTTATAATGTGACCAGTATTATATTATTGATATATATATATATATATATATATATATCAAACCTACCGTAGACTTTGTATTAACAATAATTACAATTAAATTAAACTTGATGTATTTAATTTGTTGTGCCCTTGTTTTATTGGGACCACAAGGCTAATATTTTTCCCCAGGTAGGATCGCCTTACTTTTTCCAGTTTAAACAGCGGGTGATTAAGTGTTTTCAAAGAGGGAAAATAGGGCGAAATTAAAAATATTGCTTTGCTTTGTGGCTGTGCAGCTCTGTGCGCATGTCAGACCTTGGGTCCGTGTTTGTGTTCATAGCATGTGTGTGCATGTATGAAGAAGTCTCCATGCAGAGGTGGGAGAAGTAGCTTCTCAGATCTTGTACTTCAGTAAAAGTAGAAGTACCAGAGTAATACTCTGTTACAAAAGTCCTGCATTTAAAATGTTACTCAAGTAAAAGTACAAAAGTGTTAAAGTATTAGCATCAAAATATACTTAAAGTACCAAATGTAAAAGTACTCATTGTGCAGATTGGCCCATTACAGATATATTTAGGCCCAATTCCAAACCACGCCCCACACCCGGGGTACGAGGGCATTCAGGACACGCTACCCCTCCGTTTGCGCGTTCGCGCGGAGGGTCCGCCACATTAGTACTCCCTCCATCTGACAGTTCACTCCGTCACGGAGGGGGAGTGTGTAGGGGTAGGGTGTAGGGCGTGGTTTGGGTTTGGGCCATCATGTTTTGATTATAGTTATGCATGCATTAAAGTGTTATCAAAGCTGGTAAAGTTGCAGATAGTTTTCTGCTGAACGCATCATCTGCAGGAAACAGCGTCTGAGGGCTTCTTAATATTTAATAAACTATGAATGTTTCATATCCATGTAACTGGAAGAAACTCAGCTAACTGATGATATGAACCATTTTTAGCAAAAAAAAACACAAGGCTAACGCTGAGCCTCTGGATTAGCCCTGAGCGAAAAAATGCTAACGCCGTTAGCACAGAACTCACTCATAAAACCCTTATTACTTATCGTAAATGCAAATCCAACCCATCGACTAGCATCGTGAGAATACACAGAATCGATAGATATCTGTATCATCACTCTATGATAAGAACTCGCGATATTATTAACAAGAACAGACATCAAAACATGTGGCGCTAGGTAGCTAAAAACGGGAAAATGGCTTACCTTCGTTGTTGTCTGATCAAAAGTTGTCTTCAATGGCATTAAAACGATAAAAACGCAGCTGAAGGTTAATCCATAGGTTAATCCAATGTGTCTGTGTCACTTTGAAATGATTTATGATAATCCATCAGCAATAAATCTAGTTTTAAATTTTCAGATTTCAGAGATGCGCATAGCCCCCACTTCTCAATGGTAACGTTGGTGTGTATGTGGAACTTCCCCTTTGATTCTATTGGCTCTAACAGTTCAAAAGAGATGTCAATAATCAAAATCGACCAATGGGTTCCAGACAAACGGCAACAACGCCCATTTCCACCCAAATGACCCCAGAGGTGGAGTTTTTATTTCTAAACCTCTCTAAAAAGGTCAAATGTCACTTGTTTTGTATCAATCTTGATACAGGGTACTTATTATATGTTGTACTTTGGATTCCTAAAGCTTTCAGTCTACTAACCAAGCGGCCAACTCTGGGGAAGAGCCGGGACGCCAATACGGAAGTGCCACACACTGCGGTTCATATATTGGCCGATAGGGACTGGCTGCAGAAAGGAGCAATTTCCATAGACCCCCATGTTAAAATGCCCAACTTTACAGCAAAAACAACCATGTTTCTACCCATGGATGCAATAAATATTATTATGAATATAGTTAGGTTCCACCTTCATGATTATGGATCTGTGAGTGAATTGTTTTCTAACACGACCCTTTTATTTATATTAGGTCTTAAAGTGTTTACATAAATTAGGGCGTGGTCACATTGAGTGACGGCTCTGTCAAGTGACTGCTGCTGCTAGCTTCTCGTCTCTCTGCTAGCTGCTCCGTGAAGCTACTGGGACTCTGCCTGCTCAGTTCATCCAGGAAACACAACTTGAAGCCGGCCGTGGTTGTTTGTTCTTCATGCTTATATATCGGACTATTGTGACTCGCTCTGCGGTTGAAACAGACGGTGCCTGCATGCGGTTTTGCGGTAAGTGAAAATCGAGTACTTATTTATGTGTTAATGATTTTAATCGGCTACGTAATGAATGTTAAGGCTTTGTTTAGTGTGTAAGCGAGTGGTAGCTACATCGGTGCTAACGATGCTAATCGTAGCCTCCAAGTTAAAATAATAGACTGTGTATATATAAAGGTTAAAACGAAATAGACAAACGTTAATTGGGATAATACTGTTGAACAAACGGCTTCTGTTTGAGGTTGATAAAATAAGGTCATCCTTGTAACTTAGAGATATATTTTATTATGTAGGTAGGAACTGTATGCATCGCTAAGGTTAATTTAAATTGGCTATGCTCAAGTATGTAGACAAGCTAACGTCGAAGTAGTGTATGTGAAATCAACCTCACAATAAGATGTGTGTATATTACAATTATTAATGTCATATTTCAAGATGATTACTTAGATATTACAATATGGTTGGTTGAGCTGGGGTTCATTATCGAGCTTACACGTTAACGTCACAGTCTTCTGAAGAACAAACCTAAACCTTGTTGTTTTTATTAATTGCATTACCAAATGGGTATCAAATAAACAGTAAGCATTGGTAACACAACTTCCAAAGTTACAGTAAAATAAAAAGGACTCTGACTCGACACACAATACACAATCCAACATGTTCAACAGAAGATAATCAGTTATATTGTTTGTACACATGGTACTTTACATATATATCTGTTTGTTTAAGGTGTCCAGGTGATGCAGACAGGCTGGACCAGAGAGTGAGAGACAGAACTGGACTCCTCACAGCAGTGAACTTCAGCACAGGTACAAATACTCTTTTTTCTTACTGTACAAAGAATCAAGAAAGATATTGGTTTAAATAAATGAAGTATTGACTTGAATACACTGATATACATTCCATTAAACAATACTAAATACTAGATCACCTACACATCAGTTAAGTTGAGGGTTTTTTCCATGCAAAAAGTTACATTTTAGATATTTAGCAATATGACTTTGTCAGCTTTCTAATTTAATGTATTGAAGGCAAAGATATTTAACACATAGTGAGAACTGCTACTATTTATCTCTCAATATTGTCTGTAAAAACGTGGTAAAAGTGATTCTTTCAGTGAGACAACAGAGCAAGCTTCTACAGTTGCACTACGTTTTGATAACAGTTAAATATTATTTTGATAATAACATATATTTCAATGTTGATGAACTTCATACTGTTCATTCATAATCTGATTGTCTTTGTAGCTCTGTTGAAATAAAAAAAAAACATTACAATTACAAAATAATTATATCTACAGCCCCTAAACACATCGCTTTCATAAATAACACACTTGTTCTGCAATAATATGTTTTATGTTTCCTGTCATTTTTGTTAGGAAAGGACATGCCTGAAAGACACGACATTTTCTCCTTCTCTGAGGGTCAAGAAGAACATCCAAGCGGAACATTAAAAGCTGATGTTATGAGATTTTAAGACCAGTACAGGACATTCACTAAGAAACTACTTTTATTGTGAAAACAAAGTCAGCTGATCGAATGCAGCTATTTCCACATCTACACTCCATCAGCTGATTATTTCTATTTGCCTCACTTTATGAGCTTCACATCACTTGTGCCTTGTACCGCAGAGTTTGCAACGTCACAAATAAATGGGGTCAATCTTCAGTCAGATGTGAATGTGTAATCTAACATTTTCAGTAAGAATAATGGACAAAAGGAGTGCAAATACAAATACAATTTATTGAAATGTGAACCAAAAATTCATCAAATGTTTTAAATAAAAAGCACATATGGACAGAAGGTGTAAACCTATTAAATGTATAAGTGAACACATTTAGTCAAATAAAGTGACAGACTAGGCCTGTGCAGTTGGTATCAGCTTTGCCCAGCATGGGCTCCTCCATCAGGCCTGGTCCTCCTCGCTGAGGAAAGACCCTCAGTCCTCTCCAAACCAACAGACAGGACGTCCATCACACGGAGGTTTCTCCCTGAAGTCTCTGCTGCTCTCTGGACGCCAGGCTGTCTCAATCCGTCCACACTGAATATGAGAGGGGGAAAATGAAAATAATAAATGCTTTAGACAATAAGAAATATAAAGTTGACTGTTGAGTTGCTCAGTTTTTTTAGATTGTCAATACTATTACTGTATAACTAATATCTCAGGTTAAGAGGCACATTCAAATAAAGATTGGTCTTTAAATACATGTTGTCTTTTGAATTGTTTGTCTAAAGTCAAGGATCTAGAACTGGTACTTAGTTTTAATGATACAGTCTGGT